ACAATTTCTCCAAAACCCCCCAAGGCTCCCTTGGCCAGTGGAATCAGGACCATTTTCTTATGCTTGTAGTACCAAGCCAGGCCTTGCGAGGAAGAAACTGATCACTAAGAACCCCTTTTCCGAATACAGCCATGATCAGGAAACTCTGGCTGCCTCTCACATGGTACATGGGTCTTAACAGCCTGAATCCAGCTTCTTTGGATACAACCCAGTAAGAGAAAGGAGAGAAGGAGAGCAGGAGTAAAGGAAAGGGGGGAGGGAGGGTAGAGGGGGAAGGAAGGAGGGAGGGGACAGAAGAGAAGAGAGAAAGAGAAAGAAAGAAAACAGAGGCTCCTAAAAAAATCATCTGGGATTTTTTTTTAATCAATTACCTAAGACATAATGGAGGACTGAATCTCTTTTCTTCATCCATGATGTCCTTTGAGGCTTATTATTAAAAATCTAAAATTATTATTGAAAAATTGAGGTACGTCATAAAAAAAAACTCAAACAGTGACAGAATATACAGTGTGAAACAAGCTTTTCCTCCATTATGACCCCTAATAGTCCAGTTCTCCTCTGTAAAAACAATCACCATTCTGTTTATCTTTCCAAACGTTCTATGCATATACAAACATGCATGCACCTAATTCACCCTTTTTGTAAAACATAATTAGCATCTGATACATGTTTTCTTACATTATGCAGCTTCCACTTCACATATCTAGAAGCTTATTCCATGTTTGTGCATATAAAGATGCCCGGTCTATTAAGCAGCTGCATAGTAGTATTCTATTATGGATACACCGATCATTTAAGGCTGTACTGATGGGACAATTAGGCTATTTCTGGTATTTTACTGTTATAAGCAATGCTACAATCAATGTCCTTGTAATACTTCTTGGCACACATAAAAATGTTTGTCAGATAAATTTCTAAAAGTGGAATGGCTGGGTCAATAGTTATGTTCAACTTATAGATGTTTTCACTTTGTCCTTCAAAGACTTTATACTCCCATCAGTAATGTGAGTGGTTTTTCATATCCTCACCAATACACAGTAGTTGCAGACTTTTTGATCTTGGTGTGACTTTATTAATCCATTCATCAAGATTATCATACATGTATTATATGCCACGCTCTGGGTTCAGCACAAAGGTTGCAGAGGTGAATCAGACAGACCCCAACCTTTGCCCTCACAATCTTGACATATGAATTATGACTTAATCTGGAAAATGTCACATGGCACAAGGTACGGTGGTAGCACAAAGGGAGAGGGTAATTTCATCTGTTTGGGAGATTGGTGGTGGGGACTGTCCACAGCTGAGAAACTCTGGAGAATCTCATACCTGAGATAGGTTTACTTGTCTTTTAAGTAAAGTGGTGAGAAAGGACACCTTTGTTACTGAATTCAAGGTGGAAGCTCTGAGTCTTTCTTTGTTAAGTATAATGTTGGCTGTTGACTTTGCACATATGCCCCGAATCATATTGAAGAATTTCCCTTCAATTCCAAACTTCTTTAGGGTTTTCATCAAGAAAGAATTTTATCAAGTGCTTTTTCTGCATCCATAGAGATGATCATGTGGTTCTTTTCCTTTGTTTTATTGATCTGATATATTATGTTGATTGAATTTCTAATGTTGAACCATCCTTGCATTCCTGCCATAAATCCTACTTGGTCATGATGTATGACTCTTTAAATATGCTATCAGACTCTATTCACTAATGTTTTGTTGAGGATTTTTGCATCTATATTCATAAGAGATATTGCCTTTAGTTTTCTTCTCTTGTGTTTTGTCTAGTTGTCATATCAGGGTTATGTTAGCTTCACAGAATGAATTAGGGAGTAGTCCTAATGGATAGGCATGCTCCTAATCTTAATACAAGCTGTTTTTAATCAATTCACCAACAAATCTTGTTTGAGTGGGCACATATGCTCAAACTTGTAAGAAGACCTGGGGATGATGAGAACATACTACTCCCACAACCGAGGTGCTTGCTGGCAAGGCCAGACCAAGACAAGGGAAAGGTACCTACCTGACCCAGGGTGGGTTATGTATGACCTTGGAATGCATGGGTGACTTGCTAAGAGGTAGCTTCTGATAAACAGAAATCTTTGTAGGTGGTCAGACGAAGTCTCTTGACAGCACTGAGGATGGTTTAGTGGGCTCAAGTTCTGGCTAAGTCGTAACTGTTTGGATAACCTTGGGCAAATCTGTAACCTCTCTAAATCTCAGTTTAGGATTTAAAAAATAAATGCTGAACTCATTCAGTTATTAAACATCTTCCTATTCTTAGATTGATGTCAGGGTATCAGACAACATATAGCACTGGACAAATCGGATCCAAAGGACCTCTTTCAAGTGCTGAAGAGCAAAGTTATCTCCTTGAGGACTAAGGTGAGCCTGACACAAGCCATGGTATTTTCAATCGCCTCATATGCATGTAAGAGGTAGACAATGAATAAGGAAGACTGAAAAAGAACTGATGCTTTTGAGCTGTGGTATTGGCGAAGAATACTGAAAATACCATGGACTGCTAAAAGAACTAACAGGTCTGTCCTGGAGGAAGTACAGCCAGAATGCTTCGTGGAGGCGAGAATGGCCAGACTTTGTGTCACATACTTTGGTCATATAGTCAGAAGGGACCATTTCCTAGGGAAAGATGTCATGCCTGGTAAGGTGGAGGGTCGACAAAAGAGGGGAAGGCCCTCAACAAGATGGATTGACATGGTGGCAGTGGCGATGGGCTCAGGTATAGCAAGAATCATGGAGTTGGCTCAGGACTGCGCGGTGTTTCGTTCTGCTGTGCATAGGGTAGATATGAGTCAGAGACAACTCAACGGCACCTAACAACAACAATAATAACAATTCTTGGACTTTAAGATCCTCTACCAGCCATACTTTTCTTTTTTTTCCTTTTAAGAAGAAAACAATTCCTATGCTTGGAATTTGAGTTAAGGCAATCAATGGTATTTATAAAATACCTACTATCCAGCTCTGGTGGCATAGTGCCTAAGGCACTTGACTGCTAACCAGAAGGCTGAAGGTTCAAACTCACCAGCCACTCCCTGGAAGGAAGGTTGGGCAATCTACTTCTGTGGTGATACTGCCTCAGAAACCCAAGGAGGGGTCTCTATGAGTTGGATTCGACTAGACAGTAGTGAGTTTGGTTTTGGTTTGGTGTGCTTTATGAGCACTGAGGCCATATTATTACCACCACTACCACCACCACCACCTCCTTGCCTCTTAACCTTCCCATCCAACCTATAAGGTAGATATGATCATCTCCTTTAAGAGAAGTAAACTGATTCTCTGGGAGAGCACGGTTATGGTTTGTTTATCCAGGGCCAGGAATCAAAGCAGCATTTGAACCCAGGGCTCCTGACTCCATGTGTCATGCTTTTCCAGGTAAGATGGACCTGGGTGTTATCTCTAAAGTACGGAAGTAAAATGAAATGGTCTCTACTGATCAGTCTTGACGTTCTAGGATTCTGTGTCTAAACAGTGACCACAAGCCTGGGGCCAAGTTTAAGCGTAGACTTTAAGCATTACTAACTCAGCTGCAGGCGGGAAAGACAAAGTACGAGGGCGGACGCTCCGCCCAGGGGCGGACCCCAAGTCTCTACCCGGAACCTGAGCACAGCTGGGCTGTGCTATTGGTGCGGGTGGAGGATGAACACAGAAAAATGCTTGCGACCAGTTTCCCTGAAACGCCCCTCAGTCTCTTCGGGAGGAGAACTTACGGCTTTACAACATCTTTTAGGATTAACGCCCTTAGCTGTCTCCCTTCTACTCACCTCCCTCAGAGTTATTTCCTCCCTTTTGCTACTTCACTGGAGTCCCTCTTGGTACGCATCTCCCACTTTCGATTTGAGGAGGCCAGAAGGCAGCCCGCGTGGGTACTGCGCATGCGAACATGGGACGGGGAGGGTAAGGGAAGCGCGAGGCACCGACCCCGCCCCTGCGTGGCTCCACGCGTGACGTCGTGGGGGGCGCTGGCCTCCGAGCGGTGAGAGCGAGCGGCGGCGGACACGGCGCCGCCGGCGGGCAAGGGCTGCGGGGCCTGAGTTCCTGCAGGAGGGGGTCTTGGGGGGCGGGGAGAGGGGGGCTGAAGT